TCGACGATTTCTACAAATATCGTCGAGGAGGTGTGAATTCTCACAAGACACGGTGACATAGTTTAATGCTCAAATGACAAGAATCACTTTGCTAATAAATTGACTTAAGATATGTGTTCACAACTTTTTTAGACGTCTCCACTTGTATTCAGAACTTCATTGACGCCACGTAAATTAATGCACGCAACATCTCGACTGATTACTTATTCTAATGACTCTATATAACAAATTGAACCCATGCACGAAAGTACTTATTGAAAAGTTTTGTACTGCGATATACATATATATATGCATTTAAAATATATGAAGTACGTAACGACTTCTAAACAGTTCGATTTAGCAGCTTTAGGCGGCGCTTGTTCATTTATAGCGACTTGACCAATCCATAGTGTTTTTACACACTTTAAAACCGTCTTTCTATATTTTTAAACCTTTTATTTGCCGATCGTGATGTCGTTGTGTCTTATCAGCATCTTGTCGCGTTACTAAAATATTAATCCGTGTAATTTAAAGTGGCTGTACCTTGAAAATAAATAATTCGAGGACTCGCGTATCCGCCGGGATTCGTTTCTAAAATTCTCAAAGCGAGAATACGATTCGGCAAATCGAACAACAATTAAACGTAAAAACTTCGCGCATTGTATGTATTATACTATCAACACGGCGTTTGACCAACATCCCCAAGTACACCGAATCATTCTTCAGGACATTCTTGTAAATGTGTGTATATTTTTCTAATTTACCTCCGGGTGCAACGCACAATGAACACACGTTTCTTTGTTCGCGCGCGTTGCACCGCGCGTTTTTTGTTTTTTTTCTATTTCTTTTTTTTCTTTTTAATTAAAGACTTGCAACAGGACGCGTCGTCCTCGACGAGTCTTCTCTCCCGCGAAGTGACGAAGAGGACGATGAAATACAAGAACGCGAGTCGAAAGGGGTAAAGCAAGAGGAAGATAAAAAAAAAAAAGGTCATTCGGTTTAGTCGAATCTTTCGCGATTATGCTCTGTGCCGTTTTCTCGAGCGTCCCGACTCTTCTTCTACTGTAAGCGACAATGTAATTTATTTAGTTTCTACCAAAGATGAAGAGGTTTTTCATTGTAAAAAAGAGGAGAGCGTGTCGGGAGATTTGCGTGTAAGATAATTCTCTTTTTCTTTTATTTTTCGTTTTTCCTCTTTTCCGTCACGAAGCGCTCGCTCGAGCGATATAACGCTTGATCGAATCGACGATCAAGCGAGAAAGAATGCCGGCGGCTGCGCGATCTAATGAGGGGATCCTCTTCCTCGATAGGATCGAGACTCGACAGCAAAGGGACAATCGTCGTGCTCCCGATGCACATGTATATTCATAGCCGCGCGGACGTATTATTATTGTTATACTCTACGTTGTCTTCTCGTCTGTGTTTATTTCCTTTTTTAAGATTAGTTCTGCACGGCAACGCGTTATGCATGAGAAGTCACACATTGTTCGATGACCGTCTCGTTTGCTCGCAATTGTTAGCGTGTATTATTGTTTTTACATCACTCACAGCAAATAAATAAATTATATATATATATATATATATATATATATATATATATATATGTGT